CTCAGTCTGTCGACTTGCTTTGCATTGATCGAGATATATAATGGTGTTGCACTGATCGAGACAGGAATGCACATGCCTAAGGGCACGTACAACGCGGCTCCGGGAGCCGTCTCTGTGACGCAAGTTTTGCAGAAAGGCCCCTGCGAACGCCAAGAGACGGCACGCTCGTCGTCTCACGAGACGACGGCAGCGGCCCGTGCTCCGAGGAGGACGCGACGATGGAAGCTGCGTTGTACGGGCGTTGTCTCCAGACCATACGTGCGCGGGATCTAGGTGCGGCCCGCGCAGATGGCAGTTCAATGGCGCCAAAATCCATCCCCGCCATGGCATATACCATCTCATCTCGATTTGCATATGTTCTTCTCCCGAGCAAGTCGAGCACGACGGCGTTGGAAGAGCGCAAACAGTGGAGCAAGGGCGCCCTTGGCCGCCGGACCTGCTCCTGCTCATGACTACGGCTTCCTCGAGTTCTATAGGTATTAATCTTGTTGTTCTGTCCCCTGTCCTGTTGTTCTGATGAGATATGAATTGTTATTCCCATGTCACCTTGCCATTTTCCTATAGAAAAATAAAAGAAGAAATACACCTAGAATACAATTATAAGTACCAGGCAACAAGCGTGAACCGTCCATCTTTTGATGTTATATTTCATTTATGGGGAAGAAGACATATGCTATATTTGATTTATGAAATATATACATTATATATATATGATTTACCCCATCTGTCCCTGAATATCTGTCGTTTCCGCTTTCCGAGAAACAACTTTGGCTAAATATGTATTAAAAATATTAATATTTATAGTACATAATTAGTATCATTGAAAAGATCTTTGAATCTAGTTTTTTAATAAATTTATTTGGAGATACAAATGTTGCACGTATTTTCTATAAATCGAGTTAAACTTGTGGCACACACACCAATGACGACAGATATAAAGGGACGGATGGAGTACTTTGAAGGATTTGTTCGGTATCAATTAGTGACACAATGGTATATAAGAACGATATTCATAATCGATCACATATGGCAACGCTATGAAAACAAAGGAAATTAGACAAAAGGCGTTGCAACTATATATAACATAATTATTATATTGATGGTTTCTAAAAAAATATACTATAATAATGTTGCTCTTATACATTTTCTATCAAATAGCCACACAATGGTATTAAAAAATTTATTTATAGTTGATCCTAACTACATGCAAAGCATTAAACAGCATAGAGACAGAGCCCCGTCTGTGGGTTGTATGACCTGTCTTTATACCTGTTTGTACGATAAATTCGAGGCGCTTAGAGACAGACCCCGTCTGTGGGTTGTACATGCCCTAACGCATGCTGCCGCACAGGCTGGGATGATCGATGAGACAGTTCGCCAACGGAATCAGGGGAGTGTGTTAATCTGTTCCTTAAACAGTAGAGCACCAACGCAAGCAGCACACACATCCATGGCCGACCGACCGGCTTGCCCAGCTGCCTCTGCCTCCCAACAGCATGCACGAGACGACGTGTGCTCCTAACAGAAAGAGGTGCCGTTGTCATTGACGAAGCAAATAAATGATAGGACGAAAGGAACATTCCAACTACTAGTGCGTGGATTGGCGAATAGCCCTGATAAAAAATAGAATGCATGCACTCTATTGCAAATTTAAATGAACAACTAGCCAGCATTGTATTATAGAAATATTTTCACCAACGGCTCATAAATCCCCATCTTCATTGACTAAGTAGAGAAATGGCTTTTGATTCAGGGATTTAGTCCCGGCCATTTTTGGCCTGGGACTAAAAAAAGATTGTCTCAGTTAGAGCCACCAATTGGGAGTATTATTGCTGCACGGGCACCGAAGATCCTTTTATCCCGGTTTGTAAGTAGGGTTTATGTAGTCAACCTACCATATGTTGCGTTAATTGGGACTAAAAGGTTGGTTTATGATAATCGAAAAAACAAAGAAAAGAGTAAAACTCACAGCAAAGATACATCATAACCACCTACTTATTAAGTTGAGTTAATCTTCTGTCATCAATTTTCTAATTTTATTGTGGGCTTAGAGTTTATTTAAAGCCCAACTAAACCAGGCTCCTCCCGTCCAGGTCCATTTTAGACATATAACCGAGCTTTTTTTATTTGGCCGAGCTCGAACCTGGCCTGGCCCACAAAATGAGCCTATGTAAATGAGCTACTAACTGCATATAAAATTGTTTTGTGTTATAGTGGTTGATAGTTTTATCACAATATATATGACAAAGATAAGAAAGTACTTATATATATGAATATTGTATAAGAGAGAGCAAAATAAAAAAAATTGTTTGGCTATGAGAGCTTCACATTTATTATTAAACTTCCGTGCTTATTACATATATCTTAAGGATCCCCCTCCTCTAAACTTTAGAGCTCTCTAATGCTAGGTGTGCTAAAGTTTAAAGCTAACATTAGACCACTTATTTGGACCTTCAACTCTAAAGTTTAGAGGAGGAAATCCTAACAGACCCTAAATTACTTAGGCATGCTTTGCATGAGATGCAAATAAAGTATATATGTAGTTGCAAATTCACTGGTAGTTCTGAATCTTTCTTGTATTTGAATTTTCTTCCCATCTTGCAATGCTATTTTTTATGAGTACTTTTGCGATATCGATGCGCCTCCGGATCTTACCTTTTCTTTCCCTCTTTGCGATGATATAGAGAATCCCTCTCATGTTTGAGTGCTTTTATGCGATATTTATGCATGTAGGGTTTTTTTTTCTTCATGGGTGTTGTTTTCTCATCTAGTTCGCCCCGTCATTGTTGATTCACAATGACTTTGATACGTGATGGAAAGATCCACCGATTTACATCTAAGTTTTCACACTTAGTCAATGGCGTAGCCTTGTGAAAGAACACATTTTGTTTTCACTCTACTAGATGATTTTAGAGTATTCTTACTGGTTTTGAGCACTCTTTGGGAGTGAGGAGCTGTACTACATGGTCATTGCATTCCATCTTGCAACAGGAGGCACATCCCTTGCTTTGAATTACGTTTTACGCTAATTTGATTTGATTCGTTAGAAGTGTTTTTCCAAAAAAAAATTGAAATTCTCATGTGCAGAGAAGTCAAACAATTTAAACTTTGAATAAAGTTATACGAAAAAGTACTAACTGTGATTAAACAATTATTAGACTTTGATCGTGACAACTGACAACCTTTATGTACAACCGAGACAGCACACGTTTTTTTTTCTTTTCCCGACGAGCAGCCCACCACACACAGCAACCGATCGTCGGCGCATGAGAAATTTCAATATTTAGGACTCAATTCGCACGCCTCGCAAGATTTAGGACTCAATTCGTCTGCCTTTCAAAATATAGGACTGAGCACGCGAATTCCTTCAAGATTTAGGGCCTGTTCGCTTGTCTAAATTTTGAAGGAATCTGGATGGTTTGGGGAATGCTGGAAGAATTTGTAAGAGAAAATTACTGTTTTAGATGAAAAAATAAGCGGATCAAGCTAGATTTAAAGGACACACGAACGGAGCTTAGGACTTTGGCCATTTTCTCTAGTTTTCACTTTTCTTTTAATCTTTCCACCTCTCCCAGTCATCTAAAATAATCAAATTGTCCCCGCCTTATTGGGGGACATATCTCTGCCCTCCCGTTCTCTTTGTTCGGTCCGACACGAGAGAGAGCGCATGTGACGCCCGTCAGACGCGAGCTGACCCCGACGCTGGACGCGCCTTGCCCGTCTGTGAGCCGAGAAGCCGGTGCTCGCTTGGCCTGGCGAGGGGGCCTCAGCCTCCGCCGCCTCCCTCCCCCCCCCCTCCCCTCCGCCTCGGTGTCCTCCGCCCCTCGGCTCTCGAGGCCGATGCTCCGCCGCCGGCTAGGGTTTCACTGGACCAGAAGTGGAAGAGCTCCGTCGTCTCTCATTGCGCCCGACGACGAAGTGGAAGAGCTCGACGAAGGGTCGACGGGACTGGCGACATGACGTCGAGCTAGAGCTCTGCGTGGAGCGATCGAGAGGGACTTGAGGGCGGAGCTGGAGTTCGAATGCGCATTGTCTGCAAGGCGGAGGCGCTGGGAAGTGAGCCGGGCCGATTAGCGGCGGTGGGGGCGAGGCTGCTGGAGGCCGAGTGTCGGGCAAGCGTCTGGGAGGGCAGGCTGTATGTGTATGTGGAGGGCGCCGAGGAGGAGCGGCGGATGCCGCGTCAGGCCAGCCGACTCTGGCGCGCGAGGAGCGTGGTGCAGATGAAGCCGGCGCCTTGAGGCGGCGATGGAGGAGAAGATGCGGGAGATCGAGAACGCTGTGGCGTCGACGACGAGTCAAGACGGCACAGAGCCAGTCGAGTCACCGCACCCTCGGTGTCGGACCGAACAAACGGGAGGGCATAGAGATATCCCAATAAGCCGAGGCGTTTGGTCATTTTAGATGACGGGAGAGATAAAAAGATTAAAAGAATAGTAAAAACTATAGAAAATATTCAAAAGACTCTGGTACATTTTCAGTTTATTTCAGTTTATTCTCTTCCATAGAATACTATTCAATTATCCAAAAATCCAAAAATCACTATCCAGCCGAACACAGCCTAATTGAGTCTTAAATCCTGCGAGGCTGAGGTCCTGTTTGGTTGAGCTGTTGTTGTGGGAAAAAAAAGCGTGCTTGTGTGAGTGTGGAAAAAAACTCTTTGTCAGGTTGTGTGAGTGAGAAAATTTGAAAGTTGTTTGGTTAAATAAGTATAAAATATACCTTTTATATTTATCTCTCTTAAAACAACTATGGAAGAGCTTTTTATTCCACCAATTTCGAAAAGCAGAAAGCCAAAATCCAAAAGCAGGATCAACTCAGCTTTAAAAAATGAACTACGGAAAAGCAGCTACTTCTAAAAAAAAACACCCTCCAAAAGCAATTCCTTTGGTTGGGCTTTTGGCTTTTGGGGCCAAAAGCCAAAACCAAAAGCCCAACCAAACAGGGCTTGAGTGCTAGATATTGAAATTTCTCCGCGCGCAGTAGCCATCTCCTCGAATCCGATGGCCGTCGGCGACAGCGCCACCGCCACTCCGGCGGTGGCCAAGCTCTCCATCTCCGGCGCGGCCCTGGCCGCGCTCCTACACCGCTGCGCGGTCGCCGCCGGCGACTGCGACGGCCTCCTCTTCGGCCGCGCCGCGCACCTGCCCGCGCCGCCGGCCGCCCTCTCCGACTACGACGACGCCGCAGCGGCGGCCCCTCCCACCCCCGCGCTCTCCATCTCCGTCTCAGGCCACTGCTCCCTCTCCCAGCCCTCCTCCTCTCCGACTCCTCGGCCGCTTCCATCCCCCTCCTCATCCTCCCCATCATCGGCTTCTTCTCCTCCCGCCGCCGCACCGCGCTCCGCGCCCTCGATGCGCGAGGCCGCGCTCGCCCACTCTCTCTCCGAAACCCTATCCGCCGCCCATCCGCTCCTCCTCATCCTCGTCTCCCCCTCCGCCTCCCCCAACCACTCCACCCACTCCTACGACTACCGCGCCTTCCTCCTCCTCGCCGGCCGCCTCGTCCCGGCCTCGCTCGCCGTCGTCAACGTCGGGCCCGGATTCCGGGACCAGTACCACGCCTTCACCGCCGAGTCGCCTATGCCCTGGCTGCCGTCGGCTCCGGCGCCTGGGCACGCTCACACCATCGGGGAGCAGAAGGCGGTGGATGAAATGGTGGACGGGTTTGGGGTCGCGAGGCTGCAGGGGGTCCTCGGCGCTGCGGCGGGGCAGGCGGCCGAGATGGATGAGATGTACGCAGGGATGCTCAGGAAGCTGGAGAAGCTCGCCAGGGAGGTGGAGAAGAGCAATCTCCGTGTGCTCGAGCAGGTCTGGTTTTCCAATCCTGTGATTTCCGTCTGCACTATTGATGTTCATCATAGCTTTGGATTCAACATGCACAACTGTGCTGCTGTCTTATCGATTGGCTTAATAATTGGTTAAACTGCCTAGTGCTAGAATTGTCCATTGTTAGATAGAGAGACTGAATTTGTAGCAGTTGCATTGTGGATATTTTGTCAACACTCAACATGGGAAACTTAGATAAGCCTTGCATAGCGGGATAGGGGGGCAGCTAAACTGCCTAGTGCTAGAATTGTCTTGTAACATTAGATTCGACCATTTAACAGAATGCAGCTATTTTGGTTCCACTCAGCATTCACCATAGGTTGCCTTAATTCTCCCATGCACTTCTTGTTTTGAACCAAGCTGCATGCATTAATATAGAACTATCCGGTAACGGGATAAGAGGCACTTGTACAGTTGCAGTATCTATTAGATAGCTCTTCATTTTTTAAGTGAAAACTGTTAGAATTTTGATGATCTACAAAGCCAAAACAGTTGGGTATAGCAGGTCTGCAACTATTGTACTATTGATTAATTGTATTTGGCAAGAGACGTTACCAACTAAAAAGTTGGTGAGGATGGGAGGAGAGGAACCAAGAATATCAGTTCCAACATGCCATTAATGGATGACACAAAATGGTGTTTCGAATTCCTTAGTTGCTTAGGCCTGTTTGAACATTATTACAACAGTTGGATAGCGACTATAATCTATATTTACAGTTGACTAAGGCCCTAAATTGGCATTTCATACTGATTGCTTCCGTTTAACAGTTACCTGAATATTCAAGGCAGATTGCATGAACTCTTCTGTGCCTTCCTTGTTTCAAACCAATCACGTGCATTGTAATGGAAGTTTCTGGTAACAAGCTAAGGAACACTACCTATTAGTCAACTCTTGTATTTTTTTCCCTTTTGGTGAGGAATAACTCTTGGAATCTTGGTAGTTTATTAAGTCATATCAAATGGGCACTGGGGGCTTGTAATTGCTTTATTATTGATTGAAAGGGGGAAAGCAAATCTCAATTCTAGTATGCCCAACATGAATGATGCAAAATGCAGCAGCGCCAGCCCACCTGTGGACTGTGGTGTAGAGATCATCTGATAGGGCTTACCGTCCTAGAGGGACTTCCATTGTTGGAAAATGGGATGATGGCTTATGTCGGGAAACACCATAAAAATGTTTGGTGAGATTGTGGTGATTGGGGTTTTGCAAAAACAACTCTTGTGAAGTTTTAGGTTTTCTGCTTTTCTTCATGACAAACAAATGCAGTAGATGGTGAGTTGAAGAACAGAGATCGATGAAAATGATAAAGGCCCATCTATATAGTTTCAGACTCGTACTTGTTTCTATTTGGTTGGTTTGCTACATATGAGGAGCATTGTTTCCATTTTGTGATTTGGTACCCTGTAAAAATTACACCATGAGCTGGGGCTTCTTAGGGCCTATCTGTCAGCTGCTAAATTCCTGAACTACCATAAGTGCTTGCTCTCTGTTATACTTTGTTATTAAAATGACTTGGTCTGAAAACTGAAAAGATTAATCCTTTGCTGCATAAAAAAGTTGGAGCCCTTATCCTCTGATCAGTTTTTTATTTATGCCCCCCTTCCCCAGTTATTATTGAGTGAATAATGGACATCTGCTCATCAGTTATATGTCTTTTGATTCCATTCTTGAATTGCTTTCTGAAGTCAACTCCCTTATCTTTTGTTCTTGTTATTTTGTATGTAGGAGAAGAGGAACCTGCTGCTGAGGTATAAATATGCGGTAATGGAATAGGACCAAAGTGTTTTTGGTCTTAGCAATTTGTGTATGCTGATGACTGAGTTAAAGGGGTTTTTTTATCAAACCTTTTCTTAGTGTGTCATGCGGATTTGTAATGACCTGAATGTTCATTAGTAGTTCCAAGTCATGCTCCTGTTTTGATAATATTATTTTTCATGTGCCATGTATTGTTTTGTTACTAACTGCTATTATTAGTCTGAAGATGTCTGTACCTAGGGATGAAAACGAATAGGATAAATCCCGTAACATCCCATACTGTTTACCGCTTTTATCCGGACCATTTTCGTATTTGCGGGAAAATGCAGTAACGGGATGGGAGAGGATGTTTCCCGCCTGTTTCTAGCCGTTTTCATCCTTATCTGTACCATATCTTTTTTGAATTTTGACAGAAAATGGTTGGAACACTGCCCTTCTTATAAGACAATGGATAATAATTACCTGGACACATAGTCTGGTAGAGTATCCTGTTGGAAAGTTATGTTAATAAACAGTTATTGGGACTGATTCAGGTTAAGGTTCTTAGGAACAGCATGAACCATGCAGTCCAAAAAGCTGCAGTTTACTGCTCTCCTAGTACAGTAGCCAGTGCATGTCGATCTCTCCATTTGCACGCCAGGATACCTGGTGCTGATCAAGACACTCTTCTTGAAAAACATCTGTCGATTTTGCTCCTTGCACATGTTCCACCATATATAAAGAATGGACTGCTTTCAGTTTCCAGTGATCCCTGGGCTTCTCCACCTTAGGCTTCTTACTAAAACCATTACGCTGCTGCACCTGTGGCCTGTGCTGGACTTAGTGTGTTGCCGTTTGTTCATCAATTCCTGCACAAAGCTGCACTTTTGATAGCAGGGGCATTGAAACTCCAACCTTATGGAGCCTTCATTACCATATTTTTAGCTGACTAAACAGTCTAAACTGCACTGCCTATCTACCTCGCATAGATGAGTTGTGAGATACTGACTACTGTTTTAAGATTTTCTTTCTCTTTTTTGCTTGTGTTGTGGAGTTCGTGCTGTGTTTGTAATTTCCCCTGGATCCGTTACTGCTATTTGTGGCCTTGTGTTAGTGGTGAATTATGGAAAGCATTGTTGTGCCTCTTATCATTTGGTAGATGATGGTTGTTTCAGGTTTGCAGGGGGTACTCTGGTATAAAATCTATCATCGTATCGGAGGGCTCCCATATTAAGAGTTGATAATAATGTGCATAGGATGAGACTGATAGGGGGATCGATCATTAAGAACGGTGTGAAAGTGCGTGTAGCAGTGATGTAAGATGGTGCGAAACCATTCCATTGAACCAGCCCACATGATGCTCAAGGGGTGTTCAAATTTCTGAATGTAATAGCCTATTAGCTTTCAGTCTTGTTTCACAGGTCGTGCATGCTCAACTTGTAAATTTGGCTAATTTGTATTTATATGCATCGGCACTAACAACACAATATTGGACACTCTGAATGCTATAGCTGTCCACAAGTGGTCAGAAGTCTACCAAATAGTACAGTGCAGGCTTTGTATTGAGAAACAAATCTTTTCTAGCATAAATTAAGGGTCCTCTCACACGGAATAAAACTGAAGCAAACTTCCTACTGCATTACACCATGGAGGGTAGGATTCTGAGCACAGAAGAAAAAACGCATCATTCACATAAACTTAACAGAAGTGAATAACAAGGTCTTCTCACTAAATGAAATCCCAATCACGCTCTTCTTCGTCACTATCCTCTGGATAAAGAATAGTGTTGTGCCCAGCAATGAAGCTACCGCAATTAGGATGTATAAGATCTTTTGCCCGAAATTGACACCCTTTGCAGCGAGCTTAAAAAACAGACATGAAAAATAAACATACAATGTTAGAGCATATATAGTGTCCTAATATAGAATATTGAAGGAGATGTGAAGATGAGCAAATGTGAAGGTACGTACCTTGGTCATTCTTTTTTGATGGATTGCAGTCATCCTCCCCCAAAGGCTTGCAGAGATACACATCTTTCTCGTCTCTGAGATTATGATGCACTTCAGCAAAAAACATTGTATGTTTACCATCGAGCCCTTTCACTAAAAAGTTGAGATGCAAATATCCTTTACAAAATTCACCAATAATGTTTCTATGTTTCACTTCCACGAATTCAAGATCGGTAGGCTGCAATGTAATAATAATATAAAAATGATGTTAATATAACAGGTCCACTTCAAATAAATGGTAAAATGCGTTTCAGCTAGGGAGCTAGCTTAAATAATGAGCTAAATCAATGGTCTGACCTACAAAAGGATAAAAATAAACCGCATGTCAATTTTCTGAAAACTGAATAAGAATAGTAGTAGAATACCTAACTACTATGAGTTAGTTTCATCCATTCTGAAACACATAAGTATAGCAATTATATTAAATAACATAGTAGCATAGTCGATGAAGAATAACCAGAACACTGATGAAAAGTAGTATGGGTTGGTTTAGATATTAGTAACTATAGTAAAAACTACTACTACATGCCCATTCTTTTCTTTTCTTTTTGAGAACTTTCGGAGGGATTAAGCGATCCCCACCTACTTTTTCATTCCATAGATACCCGAGGGGGGACCCCCGGTTGGTGGAAAGGCATGGCGCCAATCCAAAACAAACAAACACAGAGGTACAACGGGGGAGAGAGAGAGATTACAACAACAACACACAGCAATACCAGCAACATTCTAGCAGGAGAAAGGAGAGACGAAATGATAACCCTAGGGTAAGCCTAGACGGCAGTCGTAAATCGCTAACTGAATCGCCGATTTGCACCACCACCGAGCAACATACTCGCCGTTTTCACCGAAGTCTTTGTGCCCCGCACCACTCCTCGTAGCTACGCCACTCCGCTGCTGCCCTCCACCTTAGAAGCGAAATGTGGAATGGGAACGAACAGTGGAATGGGGACTAAGAGCGGTGATGAACAAGCAAGCCCAAGATCACCGGACACGACAACCTCCTTTATGCTGATGGTGACACCTCCAGTGCATCCGGGCCCACGTACCGCCATTCAACGCCGTCCCACGGGGAGGAAGCCGTGAAGGGGAATGGCGGCAACGGTGGAATCTCCACCCGGCATATGATTTGTGGCACCATCAAGGAGAGTGTCGACGGAGCAGCAGAGGCAGACACTCATCGGAGCGACGGCAGCATCTACTAGCCAGGCCGGTCTTACTTTGGAGGGGAAGGGGGTAGAGAGGAAGGATGGCTCAAGGTGGCGTTATGCAAGGATGGCCGCATGCAACGACGCCTTTAGCAAGGAAGTGACGTCCGCAGACGCCACCGTCGTAGGCCGGGGCGGGTAGGGCTTCCACCCAAGAGGCCACAGCATGCGCGGCAAAACGGAACCTTCGGCAGCGCCTCCAAGGAGGTAGATGGCGCAGACTGCGCCACCGCTGCCGGCCAGCAAGAAACATGGAAAAGTTTTCACCCAGGTTTGTCCGACGCCGGCGCACCGCCCAGACGACACAGCACGCAGCCCCGCCGCTAGCAAGCCCGCGGCCAAACTTCGCGCACCGCGTCGCTGTTGGACCCCTGCAGAGAACTCGGAGAGGAACGCGGCACATTGCCCCACCGCCGGCATGCCCGCGGCCGAACTGCGCGCCCCATCCCACTTCGCAGCAGGTCCTTGCCCAGATCTGGACGAGCCGGTGCTGCAGAGCCGAGCAACTAGGCGTGGAGGAGGGGGAGGGACGCCGCACTCTGGCTGCGCCACCTACGCCTCCATAGCCGCGACGCTTGGTGAAGAAGACCTGGGCGCTCCACCTGGCGGCCGCCGCATCTGCATTCGCCGCCCCCGGCAGCACCGGATCCGGGGTAGGGGACGCTGGATCCGGATCCAGAGGAAGCGTTGGCCATGGGGCGACCTTGTCCCGCGCCTGCATGCCAAAGGCGCTGGACGGGAGGTCATCGACGCCACTGACAGGGCGGGGAGGAAGGGGAGCAACGCGCTACCCGCGCACGGCGTGGTGCGCCGCGAGCCGGCCGCCCCGCTCCCGGCATCCGCTCCCGTCCGACCGGCGCGCTCCGGACTGGTCCCAGGACGAGCCACACGCGTCTCTGCTGGCCGGTCCGCTGCTCCATCGCGCCAACCGCCGAGTCGGACGCCCGCGACATCCTCGGCGCGCGCGTACGCCGCGGCACGCGTCCACGCCAGCACCACCCCCGCTTGCTCGCTGCGCACCGGATCCGGGGCGGGGCCCGACGGATCTAGAGCTAGAGGGCTCGGATCTGGAGCGTGGGGGTCGCCGCCGGCCAACCTTAAAAAAAAAAAATCAAACTCAACAATGGAGGAGGAGGGGATCGGAGGTGGAAGGGAGAGGATCTTGAAATCAAAATGGAATAGCAATATGCCAAACACGTACTACAATAGTATAAGAATAACCAGAACGCTAATTATTGATTGATGTGGGTGTGATTTTGCTTGGTATAGACTTCCAATGCTATCACCGAGCTCTTACGATCATGTTCTTTTCTTTCCTCCTCACTAGGCTTAATCGAAGAAAAAGGGAAGTAGCTGTAGTCATGACTGAGAGCCTCAACACAAGCGTCATGAAGATCATGGACAGTAAATTCTGATTCCCTAGGAGTGGGGTCATTCCAACTCTCCAACCTTATGTCAAGACTGCATGAGAAAAAATATAAAAATGAAATAACTATCAGTTTAAGCGCAGTATATAGCAGCAAAAAATGTTAAACGACATGATTATTGCGTGGGTGCATATACAATATAATATATAGGTTCGCGGTCCAACTACAGAGTCAAGCAACAAAATTGTAGTGATTAGAAGATGCTAGCTGTCATGTTTAATGCTATTGTTGCAGGCCAAGGAGTAAGTTCAATTTGCCAGTTCCCTCAATTGGAGAGTTGAACCTCATCAGTTGAGTACAAACTTACTCGTATCAGTACAAATCGAGAGATCGCTGTAGTGATGCAACCTACATATACAGCTAATAAAGAATTTAAGCCCTGCAAATCAGATGTACATCATTTTTTTCCCTAGAAATTATTATGAAAATACTCGACATCAAGGATACACAGAGAGTGCAATTAGTGGAAGTCTATTATTCTATTATAAGAAATTTGATTGGGTGTGCGATGACAACAATTAGGTTAGGTCATACTCCCTCCGTGTCATAAAGAATTAATGTAACTATAGGTTGCGTGTTAGTTAAAGTGGTTCAAGTTTGATTAAGTTTTTAGTAGATAATATTCACATTTATGGCTCCAAAACAATTTATTATGAGAATACATTTCGTAACTAATCTAGTGGTATTTATTTGATACCATAAGTATTGATACTTTTTTTAGCTCGATCTAATTGGTCAAAAATCGAAGATACTACAACTGAATTTTTTTCTAGGACGGAAGGAGTACATCCAAAAACAACCGAACAAGCATGACAACAATTTCGTCTAACGTAATACTTCCTCCTATTCTAAATTATAAAATTGTTTCGCTTTTGTCTTGAAATAATCGTTCCGATTTTTAGATACCTATATATATACTTTTTTTTATTATGTACGTGCTATGTGGCCCAAATCTTATACATAGAAAAGCCATAGCAAAATATAATTTAGAAGAGAGGAATGAAGTAACAAAGATAAGATAAGATGGTGGATGATACTGTATACGTACCCGCCGGAAAAGTCAGTAGGCCAAAGTTTTTTACTTTGCGGTCGCGGAACACCGTCCCAACGGTTTTTAACGAAATAACGAGGTACGCCGTCGTGTTGGGAGCTGCTCCTGCTCCTGCTGGGCGACGACATGCCGGCTGCGCTGGGCTCACCGGCGGGGCAAAAAGCTAGGGAGTTCACGGCGTGGCAACGAGCGAGGGCTGCTGCTCTCGAATTCGGCGAATCGATCCGCCGCGGGAGCTGGGTTAAGGACTTAAGGTTATGGATCTGACGTCGAGACTCGAGAGGGTTGGTGTGTGTACTATGTGGAATTCCGTACTATGTCTGTGTGGGGCATCCAGGCCAGAGCGCGGCCCGCTCCGCCGAGTCCATGTCCGGGTCCGATTAGATTCGATCCGTTTGGGCCGTGCTTTATTTCCTTCCTGGGTTGGGTATTTATATTTGGAAAAGTCCACGTTAATTACATCATATGGGTGAGTCCTCAGGTGTATCATGTATGGAGAGCATATTTTGTTTTAGTTGTTCTAGATTCAACTTTAATTTGACCGTGCCGCGCCTCTTGATATGGAGCTTGAAAAGAACAGCGGAAACCAGCATGGCAACAACCAACTCCAAGCGTTGGCAAAACAATCGCATATAACTTTGTTGCTGCGTCGTCGTCTGCTGCGTGGGCAAACCGCAAGCTGCTCAACAGTCTCGAGACTCGAGAAAGATTTTTTCAATAATACTAATTATGTATTATAAATATTAATAATTTTTTAAAATATATTTAATTGAAGTTATTTCTTACAAAGCTCGAGCGAGCGACAGTTATTAAGGGACGAAAGGAGTACGGGGCTACGGGCCGATAGGCATATCAGCGGCAGGAGAGCCGATAGGACCCGTCGGCAGTCCGTCTGTGGCCGCTCTTGCCGGACAATATGTCTGCAGCGGCAAAGAAAAGCTATGGACAGCATGCGACTGGTGTCAGCCTGCAGGTGGCCAGTGTGCACTTCACCGCGTGGATTGGTGCCGGGTGCCTGTGCCTTCAGGACCGCTCGGATTGATATTCATCACGAAGTGTAGTTTTTTAATAAATTAATTTGAAGTCATAGATATGAATAGTATTCAGTAGAAATTTGGTCAAACATACTCTACTTTTGACGGCACGCAACCCATAGCACGCAACTTGCATGTTTTCTGGGACGGAGGAAGTATATTCAGGTTTGGCTGCAATCTACTGCAGCAAGGCTAGTCATTGCTAATTTCGTTCTTCCCACTTTTTTCTGTTCCTTTTTTAGCGTCATGAATTTCTTAGCAAGAGTGTAAGCTTGTATTGTTTTTACCACATCTATTTTGGTCATGTTTGGTTCCCACGACTAAAACTAGAGTGGACTAAACTTTAGTCACTTTAGGGACTAAAGTGCCAAACACGCTGACTAAAAGGTAACTAAAACACTTTAGTTCTTGTAATCTCTTAAGAGGTACTAACGGTGACTAAAATATTTTAGTCCACTTTAGTTTAGAAATGGAGAACTAAACGGCCCTTTAACGCAAAGGCAGAGCACCTGGTACCAATTCACACTTGTATACACATAATAACAGGTTGGGTGCACTCCTGATACCAATTCACATTTTAAATTTTAGTTTAGAGAAGAAGAGCATGCCTCTGTTTTCTATCCTTTATTGTAGGTTTTTTTTTGCACAAAACTGCTTTGTCTGAAATACAGTACCTTTTAGTACATATACCCTGCCACAGCAGTTTCTATGACTCAAAGAGTCCACAGGAACTATCACACATGCACGACTTCTATGCACACCTTTACGGAATTTGTACTCGAAATCGCTTCATACCATCTCCCTAGAAGTTTATTTAAATTTAATGTACGTCTGACCGCCACCGTGCAGAGACGCCTCATTGTATTTTTTGCACAAACAACAATTGATAGGAAGATTAGGATTCCATGGCTTGAAGATCACGGCGGTGAGGCAACGGTGTGGTGTGCACGGAGTGCAATGCAATGGAGTGGTGGTGTAGAGCCAAATTTAGCAACTGGTGTTCCAATCTCTGCAAGCAAAGTATCATACTATATGTGAATCATCCCGTTGGGGTCAGCGCTTACGATGAGCCTCTATCTGGGACACTACTTTGTTAGCGGTGGATTAGATGCAGTGCTGCCATTCCGACCACGCCGAGCATTACGCTCAAAGCAATAATGTAGTGGCACGGTGGGAGTGCACACTTCAGAAGGTTCAGAGAGAGGACGCCGTATCATGCATAGGCGAGCTAGAGGTAATAGTAGTGGTGTTTGAGAAGAGATCGACGAGGTGGACGAGACAAACCACAACCGCCATGAATATTTACACATTAAATAAAAATTGACATTTTCACATAAAAAAATATTTTTTACACCTAAATCTTTAATCAAATAAAAATTAGTATATATTTTTTATTAACCCGTTGCAACACACGATCAATTTTGCTAGTAAAGTTATAATTTTAAAAAATACAAATATATTCATAATGGATCTCAAAGTTGTGCGCAAAAATTCGATGGTGATCGCTTTATCCTGTTTGCTTTTCCTCGTTGATCTTCTAGCAAGCCCGTGCCTTCTCTGGGCCCAAGAACTGGCCATATAACCTCTTGACGGGCCCAACCTTGTAGTATTTATATTTATTTCTAATATTTTCTAACAGGTTAATAAACACAGCAGGCCACACAGGGAGCAGTCAGCAGTGGCTGCCGGCGCCGCCGCGGCGGGCACGGGCAGGGCAGCCGCCACTACAAGCTGCAGCCAGGAGCGCGCTAGGCATCAGCGGCAGGCGGCGGTGGCAGGGGCGTCGGGACCGGGCAAAGGGCGGACGGCGGAGGTCGGAGGGCGCCAGCAGTCCATCACGAACACACTGCCATTCTGTAAGTTCAAATTCAGATTCAATTTGTTAAGGATAGACTGAACATCATCAACAGTTTTCACTTTTCAAAGCATGAAGGATTGGAAAGTTGTCTTATAAAAGCTTTATTGTCATTTTCTTGGTCACGGATATAGGATTTTGGGAACCTATCGCTTTCAGGTGGGAGCCGCATTCTCCGTATGCACAAATTAAGGGTGTGTTTGGTTCCATGGATTAAATTTTAGTCCATGTCATATCGGATATTCGGATGCTATTTAGAAGAACTAAATATGAGTTAATTATAAAATTAATTACATAGATGGAGATTAATTTACAAGACGAATTTATTAAGCCTAATTAATCCGCCATTAACACATATTTACTGTAGCACCACATTGTCAAATCATGGACTAATTAGGCTTAAAAAATTCGTCTCGCAAATTAGCCACAATCTGTGCAATTAGTTATTGTTTTCGTCTATATTTAATACTTCATGCATGTGTCCAAACATCCGATGGAACATGGACTAAAATTTTCCTGTAGGAACCAAACACCCCCTAAATATCGTATATGT